AAATAGTAACGTGTAGTGCTACATGGCACATTTTTTAGACAATTAGGACTTAGGAGCGTGTACTAGACGCATTCTCTAAGACGAGGTTTTAATATGAAGGGCAATATAGGGGGTTTTAATATGAAGGGCAATATAGTTCAAGGGGGGGTTTTGGGGACACCGAATAGTTTAAGTAGAAAACTGACAAAAACTTGATACTTTAGGGGATTAACTCTTTTTTTAATTTTTAGAAAATTGATTCTTAGTACGTAAACTCAAATTACCACCGCAATTTCAAGCCATTATCACAAGGGAAGCAAACTAACAGGAAATAATAACAAGATTATGGTCCGATTCACTAAAATTTGTGGTTTACCAATAAAATTAATAGCAAAAGCAGGGATAAGGGTTTTTGCTAACTAGAGACATAAAAATGGATTATAGAGACAAAGCTCGATAAAGAAAACACATACTGATTTCTGCTTGAGAGGTGAATATGAGCAGCTAATTAGCGGCAGGGCAGAGGAGTTTTAGCGATCTGGTAGAGAAAATCTCGCACCTAAATGCAATTGGAATTTTGGATCGAGCTTGCGTTCATTTGTTTTGTTTAGGCATGAATAGCGGGTAAGCAAGCGTTTGCAAAAATAGCCACAAAATTTAGAAAAAAATATCCTAGCCGAAAGATGGAAAGTTTCACCGTAATATGCTCAGTTATGGAACTAATGCATATAAACTTTGAGTATATTATAAAATTAACACATTGTGTTGAAATCTCATTTTTACGAACTCAGTGTATTATGACGGAATTTTTCCGGAATTTTAAGTGTATTTTTGTTCAAATTTTATCTGTATGAAAAAAATGGCTAGATTATGGGTGTGTTTGGTATAAGGAAAAATATTTTCCCGAAAAATATTTTTTAATTTTTCCATGCGTGGTCGGCTTAAATATTTTAGAAAATATTTTACTCATGAACTCATTTTCTTCCAATTGGATGAAAAAAATTTCCCCATCAAAGGAAGTAAAAACATTTTACAAAATTATTTCGCAACCTTCTCTACCTTATTCCTCATTTCCACCAACCCCCACCAACCACAACCCACCCATCCCAAACCTCTACTCCCACCTACCCCAACCTTGCCCACCATCTACCCTAGATAGAACTATTATTGAGAGTGCTTTCTTTTCATGTTGTAGATAGAGAATTTTTATTTTATTTTAAAAAAATGAGTATATTCTTTTCATGATGTAGTAAAAGTATTTTTTTTATTTCAACAAAACGAGTAATTTTTTCCATGATGTAGAAAAAGTATTTTCTTTCATTTCAACAAAATAAGTATTTTCTTTTCCTGAAATAGACAAAATATTTTTTTTCAACAAAACGAGTACTTTCTTTTTCCTGATGTAGAAAAAGTATTTTCTTTCATTTCAACAAACAGAGTACTTTTTTTCATGATGTAAAAAAAGTATTTTCTTTCATTTCAACAAATTAATATTTTCTTTTCCTGACGTAGAACAAATATTTTATTTCATTTTAACAAGACAAGTACTTTCTTTTCATGATATAAAAAAGTATTTTCTTTCATTTCAACAAACTGAGTATTTTTTTTTCATAATGTAGAAAAGTATTTTCTTTCATTTCAACAAACTGAGTATTTTTTTTTCATAATGTAGAAAAGTATTTTCTTTCATTCAACAAAATGAGTAATTTCTCTTCATGATGTAGAAAAGTATTTTCTTTCATTCAACAAAATAAGTAATTTCTTTTCATGTTGTAGAAATGATACTTTCTTTTTCAACAAAATAAAGTATTTTCTTTTTAGTTATCGAGCTCAAATTTTAACGTTATTTTTATGTGAAAAAGTAAAGTAGCACATTAGTTCATTTGGTTTTGTGTGAATTTTGAAAAGAAAAATTAAATTTTTGAAGAAAATAGAGTTGGGGGGGGGGGGGGGGGGTGGAGTACAGAAAATATAGGGATTTTGGAGAATGTGGGTTGAATAGAGTAGCATAAAAAATTATTTTTCTAAAAATATTTTATACTCTCTAATCAAACACTAGAAAATATTTTCCGGAAAAAAAATTTCACTCACCAACTAAACAAGGAAAAATAGGTGATAAAATCACTCATTTTTCAAGAAATATTTTCTGGAAAAATATTTTTTCATGGAAACATTTTCCTTCATACCAAACATACCCTATAATTACGTTTAAAACTAACTATTTTTCAATTACCAATTGTAAATCAAGTTATTCGTGATTTTTTGCCCATGAATGTCCGACCGTTGAAATGAGGCCCAAATATTTTTAGTTTGTGGGATTTATCACACCCACTACTAACATATTAACCACAATGCGGTATCATGAAATAACACTACTAACATAGTTATACATATCATTTTATTGAAATCAATCTGACGTAATAAATTGAATAATTTGTCAAAGATCTCAACATGTGAAATTCTTCAAACATACCAGTATATCGTACTTAACTTTCCAATTATTATCATAACATGAAATACATAAAATTTAATAGAGAATAATATGACAAACAATTATTTTATTTTTGTATATATTTAGTACTTATCTTGAATTTTTGGTTTGGCTCTCAACTAGGTCCATAAACCTCAACTTACTCAAATCAAGATGATTCATTAAAGTGCTACTTAAACGGAACATTCTTGGTAACACAATAGTATTCAGTAAAACGGGAAGTCCTAATTACTCGTTTGTTCATTCCACTTTTTGGTCTTTTAGATCATGTCTTATAACATTGTATTGTAGCATATTACCTCCGCCCTTAATTACCACCGGGGGTGTGCTATTATTTCAAAGGGATCCAGCCGAGGTGTAAGTAGATGCTTCATTGATGAAAAAAGAATTAGTATGCAATACTAGTGGAAAGATTTACTATTAAAAAATTAGAGGTTCTTTTTTGTGCTCTATGATAAATGATAAAAAGTGCATGTTATTTAGTATGTTTGCATGTTATTTCTTATGTAAATCGTAGGGGATTACATGCTTATGAACATAAAATATGCTCACTATGTGTTTGTTGTGTATAGAAATGAGTGTGGATGGAAGTTGGCAAAACATGATGATTTGATGCAAAAAGAGCAGAGATGCAAGAGCTCGGGGGGTGCCACAATTGATGCATTGTATGAAAGGTAGGCGTGAAATGGACTAGGAAGTGAATCAAAACCAGTGAAGTATGATATTTTGGCACTGGACATGTCACGCAAAAGAAACAAAGAAGAAAAAAAAAATAGTTGGGAGCGTGCCTAGGGGTCACGCATTGTACGAACCCTAGGCACGCGATTCAACTTCTCCTTTTCGAAATAGGAGAGCTCAAGGCCGTCCCATACAAACCCTAATTGATATAAATACATCCTAAAACGTCCTTTTGAAGGGAGAGATATTACTTTAGGGTTAGACAACATATAAGGAGGCGGGAACACGCTAGGAACAAGTAGGAAGTTTCAACCACGAATTTTTTCCTTTCTTCTTCCAATTTTTCATTATTGGTTATGAATTTTTGTATTATGTTTTCACATACTTTTATGAATAGTTAATTTATCATCTAGAGTTTGGTTGAATATTTTGGAGGATGAGCTCCCGCTATATTTCAATATAATTTTGCCTTTGAATACCAGTGTTCAACTACATGCTTATTTTAGTTAATTGAAGAGCTCTCAATTGACTCTACCTATTTATTATGCATTGCTTGAGAAGAGTGCATATTTAGGTTGTTGTCGAATAACGTCACTCCCAGTATATGAGAGATCAATACGACGGGTTTAAAAGTGAGATTAGAGATAACGAAGCTTTGACGTGATCATAGTGAGCGCTGAAAAAGTGTGAGCTAGCGTAATTCGAGAGAATATGACTAGTACATTATTGTAGTTGCTCGAGAGACAATTACGATAAGTCGAGCGCTCATGATCAGTAGAGAATACTTAGGCGAAATTATAGGAGACGTAGCGGGGAGGATTCCGACAATTGGAGAAATCATAACTCTAGGCTTTTCCAATCTTGTCTCCAATCCTTAGTATCTTTACTTATTAATTTACTACTTTAATTTGTTAGTTAATTAGTTAGACATAAGAATCTTAATATTTATAACTTAGAAATTGTTCGAGCTTGTCTTCTTAGTGATAGTGAATAGTTGTAGCTAAACCTTAGCTCCTTGTGGAATTCGACTCCGGACTCTTAGATCGAATTATATTTACAATGACCGTTTATCTCTTTTAGGACTAGAGTCGGGCGTTATCACTCTACAGTAGGGAAGATGCATTACCACTTGTTAGACTTGAGACGTTCGCAATTGGGCCATCACGAGCTAGAGTTGGAACGTCCGCAAATAGGTCATCTATGTGTAAATCTGGGCTTTCAAGAGCCACGAGATCATCAACTCGATTCTCTAGGGTTCAACCCTGACTCTACTTGCTTAGAGATCATCGACGCTCTAGGTTTGAGGATGGGCTTTAACTACTTTAGTAGATGTTGATTTGAATGCAACTTAATTCGAATATATTTTAAATTTTCTTGAAAATGATTTGGTGTATCTACTTCAATAGTTATAACACGTTCCCGAATTAGTAAACTTGCTCCTTACGTTTTTTTAATTTTCTCTTTAACCTATTGAGAAGTCTTAATCGTTCTGCCATTGTGATTGGATTAAAATTATCCCATCGAATAGCATTATTAGCATAATAATTAACATCTAAAAAACTGCTAAATTAAAATATCACAAGAACCATGCCGATTTAATTAAAACAAAGTAAAAACTAAAAAAAGATTCTTTATATTTAAATATTGAACGAAAAGAGGAAAACTTACAAGCGTCCTCCAAAATTTAGGTCGTTGCATGATTCGAGGGGAGTTGGGAAACAAGATACGTAATTTTTAAAGGTAAATAAATACCATTGCATGGGGAATGGACCGAGAATGTTACATTTTATTTTTCTTAAAATAACATAACAATCGTAATAAATGACAAAATGAAATCTCCTCGTCCGAACCACATCCATCCAAAGCACGTTTTACTACTCAAAACAAATAGTAAAGGCTAAAGGGTATTCCCTTACACCATCCTTAGGTAGAAAAGTACCAAAAAAGAGTAAGAAAAAGAAACAAGAAATAACTCTAATTTGGCTTATTTTTGTCAACACTACTATCAGCATCCCCATAATTAGGAATGAAGCTTCTCCACCAGGTGTTTTGCCAGAGATTAATTATTTTGCTATAGATGAATTGCCCAACTCCATTATTTCCATTTTCCTTTGAAGCATTTCTTCTTTCCACTGTTTGTACTGTTTTCTGCAAAAACAAGAATTTATAAACTATGGGAAATTGAAAAATATAGTAGAACCAATAACCTATGTTGTTCGAACTTTTTCAAAATATTATATCATTCATGTCGGATCCTCAAATTTTGAAGGATTCAAAACATACCCGACAACAGTTTTGAAAAATTCGAGCAACATGGTCAATTAATCTCGTCAGGGGATGATTAAATATAATATGCATACATTGCTAGGAGTGAATCTGAGTCCAACTTTTATCTGCCCTTTGTATGTGTCATCTTCAAGCACCACATTGTGAGCAACTGGTGTCACTTCCATGAATCCCTTTTCATTCCCCTCAGTAATTATTCCTTTAAGATAAATTCTGACTCAAATGAATCAGAAACCGAAAAAATTAAAATAAAAAAAGTTTCAATTAAATAGCTAGGGAGTAGTATAATATAATAAGAAAAATAAAGAGTAAGGATAAGTTGCTGTAGAATTGGTTCAGGTGAAAATAGAAAATATTTTAAGCTTGTAAATTGTGTAAAATATTTACAAGCAGCTTTAAAGAACATAAGGCATCTTTTTTCTTTTATTTTTATGTATTTGATATCTAAAATACACTAGCCTGATTAATCAAGATTCACATAATGAGTTTATTAATAAAGTAAAATGCTTCATCTAGATTATATGGATGAAGGAATTTGAACTATATAAAGTAAAAGAACTTTAGTATTTCATAGAAGGAAAAAAAAAAAAAAAAGGAATTTTTTTTTTTTTTTTTTTTTTTGTTGCTAATAAGAGGGCAAGTAAGTTATTACGTGGTTTCACCAACAAATCCACCGGCTGTGAAACATTCCTCGTCCATAATTTTTAGTTTAAGGTAGTACCATAATTCTAACTTGGAAGTTGGCAATTCAAACTTAAATTTCTCATTCCACAAAATTTCCTTTGGATTACCTGCAGTGAAAAACAATTAAATCAAAAAAACGGATATGAATATTACTGATATTATTCTACCAATATATATGTATGCGTTAATTACTGAATTTGTATCCCCTTGTAATTTGCTGCAATTCTGGAGACAATATTTTCTTATAACTTTTGAAATGTGAAAACTTCTATTTTTTGTTTTAAAAGATATTACTCCAAATACTTCTATTTGTAGTTGTATCCTTTCTAAATTTTGTATGCTTTTCTTTTAATAAATTCCATCTCTTATCAAATCCATTTAAGGAAAGTTGTTAATGATCAGGAATATTAATGAAATTCCAAAACTATGACGGGAAAGGTTATCTACTTTGCTATATTATACAGGTTAATGTAAATTGATACTACAAGAATAGGAATGAAATACAAAACCTGAGGAAATTTTTGTTCTGTAGGATTGAGATCCACATTCAACAATGACATAGTACGATGGTTTCCCTATACAAATCAAAGTAATAGTCCATAAATATAACCAGGGGCGAAGGACCACCCTTCGTCGGAAAATGTCGAAAAATTAACACTGTGTATATAGGTAGAATTTTGGATTTACATGCATGTAATACATATTAAACACCCTTGCAACAATGAAGATTCATAGCTCAGTGGCAAAGGGTGGTCAAGAGGGCCTCATGGGTGCCGGTTCGAGCTTCACTCTCCACAATTTTTATTTTTCTTGTACAAGTATGAACACCTTTGAAATATTTTCTAGCTTCACCACGGAATATAACGACCTAAAGGGTGGCCCAAAAGTAAAAAGAAGTAAAGAAGAAGATCATTCATACTCGCCAAAGCAAAGTAAAAGAACTTTTTGGGTGTGTTTGGTAAGAAGGAAAATATTTACCGGAAAATATTTTCCCATGTTTGGTTGATTTAAATGTTTTAGAAAATATTTTTCTCATGAACTCATTTTCCTCCAATTTGAGGAAAATATTTTCCCTATCAAAATAAGGAAAAATATTTTACAAAACTCTTTTTCAACATTCTCCACCCTAATCCCCATCCCCACCAACCCACCCCCAANAGAAATATTATAAAGAGTATTTTCTTTTCATGTTGTAAATAAAGTACTTTTTTTATTTTAACAAAATAAGTATATTCTTTTCATTTCAACAAATTAAGTATTTTCTTTCCCTGAAAGAGAAAAAGTATTTTTTTTCAACAAAACGAGTATTTTTTTCTCTTTCAGCAAACTAAATATTTTCTTTTCCTAAAATAGAAAGAGTATTTTATATACTTTAACTAAACACTAGAAAATATTTTTCGGAAATTATTTTTCACTCACCAACCAACCAAGGGAAAATAAATGATAAAACCACTCATTTTCCATGAAAATATTTTTTAAGAAAAGATTTTTCATGAAAAATATTTTCCTTCATACCAAACATACCCTTTATACACCATATATTTCCCAAAACAAATATCTACAGATAGTAACTTTAAAAATAAGACATGTTATCTATCACGATAAATTAAAATACACAGACAGTATAATCACAATGTACAATCATTATGCATAACAACTTGTTTGGATTGTTGTTACTTATCGTTTCATAATGTATTGTATTGTATTGTTTGATGAATACAATATTTGGATAGATTGTATCATTTGTCGTCGTTTCATGATGTCAAACACCAACAGTATGAAGAATAAACTTGCAATATTATTAAGAAAAAATAGGATACAAAGTAGAATTATTATATAAAAAGTAGGATAAATGATAAAATACAATTATTTAATAATAAGGAAGGGCAAGATGAGAGAAAAAAGTAAGGAAACGACGTCACCACACCAAATCTGTCGTTCCATAAAGTGACTTTTTTGTCATTACGAAACAATGAGTTTAACGATACAATACAATAAAATTTAAGTAACAACCAAAATAAACATTATATTTAAAGTAACAATATGATACAATTCAATATGTAGCAACCATCCACACAAGTGTAAGTTAAATTCTTACCAATAATGCTAGAGTGACTAATAAAAAATAAGACAAGTTATCTACTAGAACATATTAAAATACATAGGTAGCTAGTATAAAATTATTTTAAAATTTTCAGAAGTTAAATCCTTACCAATAATGTTGGAGGGGCGAATGCCTCGGGCACTTACAACAAAAACTTCAAGGAGTCCTCCCTTCATGGAGTTTTGCTTTCTTTCTTTCATATTTCCTTTTAGTTTAGGGATTAATAAATCTTTAGGCAATTCTAAGTAATGCAACAGAAAACATATATAGAAGAAGTTACAGAAAGAAAAAGAAACAGAAGTTTGGTAATGTATCAGAAGACGTTACTAGTTCATGCATATATACTATGAATGACAATAACCATTGATCCAGAATTAAATAATACTTCTTTAAAGGAAACAATTAGTAACGAACAAGTTATTAATACTCTATAGCTCTTACTTATATGGAAATCCAAATTTAAACTCGTTAACATTATCAGATTATAGGAAAATGAATTACTTAGAAATTCAATAAAATATCACCCACAAATGAAAAAGAGAGAGAATAAAGATGGTGCCGTCATTTTTTATTTTTATCCAACAAATTTAGAACCAGAAAAGACAAGTTTAACGTTAGATAAAGACATTTTTCCTTCCCCTCCTATAAATTTTTCTCTTTTGTCGTTTTTGGAATCTTCTTTAGATCGTTTAATTACGTTTTTCTTTTGTGCCTCACTATTTACGTACACAAAGTCTTCGTTATTTTCGTCGTATAGTATCATATTAGCTACTTTTAATATTAATTATGATAAAAACTAAGTGTCCGCCAAATCATATAGATAACGAGGTTCTCTATCAATTCACATAATAAATAGGCTGTAAATAATTAAGAACACACAATATTTACGTGAAAAACTCCCTGATCAAGGGATTAAAACACGACCTACCCCAGTAGGATTTCAACTCCACTAAACTGTGCAAACTTCATATTACAACCGATTGCAATCTAGGTATTAAACTCTTAATCTCTCGCCCCTTACAATAACTTTATTGTAAACTTTTTACAATAACCCTATTACAAAGCAACACTCTTGACTAACTCTAGTCAAATAACCAAAATAATAATGATTAAATAATGTCCTACAAAATACTTTTAGAAAGCCGTGTAGGAATATAAGCAAAGAACAAAAGACAAAGACACAACAAACTTAAGGATTTAAGACATCTTCAGTGTTGGGATTTGGTTCTTGGTTTGTAGCAACTTTGTTCTTGAGTGCATCTGGAGGAAACAATGGTAGCTGGCACTTGAGATGATAGGTTTTTCAGATTATCAAGTGTTAGGCCAAACCTTGTATAAAGTTATTTATATATGGGAGAGCATGTGTAAAGAGATAGGGACATTACAACTTTTGGTTTGGCCTCTAGCAGCAGCGGCTGTTCCCTCTACGAATCAGACGCCTTCCCCCTGAGAACCAGCTTCCTGATACCCAGCTTCCTGTTACCTTGGCCTGTTACCCCCCTCAATTATCTTTCCCCTTTTGGAATAATTGAAAAGAAGATATAATAAGTACATGCAAAAAGAAGTCCAACAACATTAACTCATGCCACTTATGTGCACATAATATGGTCAAAATGAGAACACAAGAGATTAATATTGCACAAAATAGAAAAACAAAGTAACAGCAGTACCAATCACATAAATATTATAAATTCAATAACTAAAATACCACAATCATTAATTAACAACAACAAAAGGAGGACATGATTAAGATAAGACTAGAAATGGGTTCAAAAGTAGGAGACATTGGGCAGGAGATAGGAAAGATTAGGGAGTAAAAGCCTTGAGGAGTCTGTCCACTCTTTCATTTGAAACTCTTTAATCAGTGATTAGCTTCTCCTTTAGGTTCTCAACCTCTTTCCTCAACTCGGCATTCTCAGCCTTCAACCTGGACATCTCTTCCCCCCGGGAGCCACTGGAACCAGGTTCTTAAGTGAGTTTGGATTGTAGAATAGCATTTTCAGCCTTAAGTCACTTGATCTCAGCATTGGCGGACTCCTGAGCATCAATCAGTTGGAAAATGGTTGAGTTGCTCTCCATACCTCTTTTCTTTACCACATACTCACATTCTTCCGGTGTGCTCATGGTAAATATTTGCTTCCCGGTCCCCACATAAGACTTTCTCAACGGGACATCAAAATGCTCAAAGATTTTTTGTGAGCAGGAACTTATATGGGAGACCATGTTTTCCATCCTTAAAGCTTTCCACCTTTAGCATGTGTTCAATCATGATCCCAGGAAGATTGATAGAAGTGAAGGAACCCAATGCCTCGTGGAGAACCATGTCTTCAATGGAGGTTATAGATCTCCTCTCAGCCCGAGGCAACAACACCTTGTTTACCTGCTCAAACAATAACTGATAGTCTGGTTTAAGAGCCTTCTTATACACCCTTTCCCCGAACAAAGTGTCTTACCTCTTTACAATTAGCTTTTTAAAAGCAAGGGGAGAATTTCCCTCCACTGTTCAAGCCCATCTGTGGGCACTTCAAGAATCTCCCCAAGTATGTCCCCACCCAAGACAAAATCCTTTCCATTAACTTTTGAACACAACGTGGCCTCATCCACAACAATCAGCCCAACATAAAAACTTCTTACTTCATCTTCGTACACCTTTAGACTTTGAGGTACAAAAAGATGACTCCACTTTTGGAATTCCATAATCTCCACTAGGTCTTTCATCCCTGGTTTATTAGTAATTTCAGGGTCAAACACTCGACCCCACATCACTTTTTGATTTTTGAGGTTGGCTTTTCTTTCCAATTGAGACAACTCTACTCTTGCCCTTTTGGAGGAACTAAATTCCTCGCTAGTACTCTTCCTAATCCTCATAGGCTTATTCTCCTCTTTCTCTTTCTATTTCTCTGCTTCTTCTTCATTCTCCACTTCATCACCCACTTCACTCAAAAGTTCTTTCTTAGTAGGAGCATAAGGAGAGGGAGAAGAGACAAACTTTTTGGG